CTCCGAGAGCCCCAGGCTTGGAGGATCATGGGACTTAGTAAGTAAGGGTTTAGGGTTTAGGGTTTAGGGTTTAGGGTTTAGGGTTTAGGGTTTAGGGTTTAGGGTTTAGGGTTTAGGGTTTAGGGTTTAGTAAGTAAAGTTACAAGTCCCCTAATTGGGGTTATGAGTATAGCTACCTTGATTTTAACCCTACTTACTAAGTCCCATGATCCTTTAAGTCTCTTAGTAACCACCTTTAATCACCGACTCTGCCTTGGACTTTAGGGTTTAGGGTACAGGGTTTAGGGTTTGGGGTTTAGGGTGTGGGGTTTGGGTTTGGGGTTTGGGGTTTAGGGTTTGGGGTTATAGGGTTTGGGGTTTCGGGTTAAGGGTTTAGGGTTTAGGATTTAGGGTTTGGGGTTTAGGTCTTAGGGTGTAGGATTTAGGGTTTGGGGTTTAGGGTTTGGGGTTTAGGGTGTGGGGCTTAGGGTATAGGGTTTGGGGTTTAGGGTTCAGGGTTTAGGATACCGGGTTTAGGCGGCTTAAGTGACTTAAGTGCCATGACTTAAAGCCTGGTCCATGACTACGGGGCGCCTAGCTTCCTAAAACTACGACGGCAAACGCTGTAATGAAAAATCCAAACCCCTAAACCCCAAACCCCAATCCCCAAACCTTTAAACCGAAGACCCCATACAATTATTGGATTCCCTTTGGAAGCCTCAACCCTAAACACTCAAACAGCCCCTTCGAGTTCCCTGAAAAGTAAACCACTAAAGCCCTTGTTGAAAGGCTATTAAGTTCATTGAACCCTAAACCCTAAACCTTATAAACCCCAAAACAAACCGCAAAGCCTAAACCCTGCACCCTAAACCTCAAACCCTAAACCCTAAACCCAAAGCTCTAAACCTTAAACCCTAGACCTCAACCCCTAAACCTCAAACCCCTGAACCCTAAACCCTAAACCCCAAAACCCTAAACCCTGCGAAACCCTAAACACCAAAACCCTGTGAAATCCTCAAGTCTGCACCCAAGGGCCGCGAGCCTCCGGTCTCCAAGTCGTCGCCGCGAGTCGCGGCAAAGAAACGTCCTGCTAGGGTTCCATTTTAAAGGCTTTAGGGTTTAGGGTTTCGGTTTTAGGGCTTAGGGTTTAAAGTCTAGGTTTAGGGTTTAGAGTCTAGGCTTCAGGGTTTAGGGTGTGGGGTTCAAGGTCTGGGGTTTAGAGTCTAGGGTTCAGGGTTTAGGGTTCAGGGTTCAGGGTTTAGGGTCCAGGGTTTAGGGTTCGGGGTTTAGGATTTAGGGTCTAGAGTCTAGGGTTCAGGGTTTAGGGTTTAGAGTCTAGGGTTTAGGGTTTAGGGTTCGGGGTTTGGGGTTTAGGATTCAGGGTTTAGGGTCTGGGGTTCCTTTAAGGGCTCCTTTCAGGGTTTAGGGCTTAGGGTTCCTTTACGGGCTCCTTCAAGGGTTTAGGGTTTAGGGTCTAGGGTTCCGTTAAGGATTCCTTTAAAGGCTCCTTGAAGCGTTCCAGTAAAGGTTCGTAGAAGCGCTCCTTTAAGGGTTCCTTTTAAGGATTCGTTGAAGGGGTCCTTGAAGGATTCCCCCAAAAGGTTCCCAGTAAGGCTTCCTTTAAGAGCTCCCTTAAGGGTTCCTTCATGGGTTCCACTAAGGCCTTCCATTATGGCTTATTTTACGGGTTTCTTTATGGGTTCCGTTCAGGGCTTAGGGGATTTAGGGTATAGGTTCCGTTGAGGGTTGGTACAAGGGCCAAGTGCTTGGAGGTTCAGGGGCTTAGGGTTTGGGGGTCTAGGACTGTTGTCTAACAGTGCTTACGCTCTTTAAAGCTTCAGGGCTTTAGGGTTTAAGGGCTTCAACAAAGTTCGACACTTTAAATGCCACATGTAAGGTTTGGGCTTTAGAGCTTTGCGTTTAAGGGTTGTGAGAGTTTACGGGTTTAGTGTCGGGTGTCTTGAGTCTATAAATAGATAATACCTGCTTTGAGCTATTTCGAGTCTTATGGAAAGGTCGAAGCTGAGATGTGTGCATGGTTTACTCTTCTTGGGTTGTCGGGCTAAGGGCTTTTTGTATCGAACTGTTAGGTAAATGTTGTGTGAGTTTTGTGGGTTTGTCTAAGAACTCCATTATGGCTGCTCTTCCAGTATAGGGTTCAGGGCTTTGGGTTTTAAGGCTTGGCTTGGGATTCATGTTGTTATGGCTTAGGGTTTATGGTGCGTCGGTCTCCGGGAATATCGAAACTCGAAAAACCAGGTTTCTAGTGGGTCTTTCAAAGCCCCTGATGCCTGAATTGAAAATATATACACCCTCAACCCTAAACCCTCAAAGCCCTAAACCCTAAACCCTCAACCCTAAACCCCCTTCAACACATCATAACACAGATCCCTGTCGAAGTGATAGATGAAGGATGCGGCATGCCGCAGGCTCGGGTTACCTAAATAGTAGCTTACTAACCATATGGGTAGTTCTCTAAATTAGGGTTCCTTTAAGGGGTCTATAAGGGGTTGTGTCGGGATTAAACCAGGGTACTGTGAGGGTTCGATCTGGGTAGTTATCTAAATTGGGGTGCATTTTAGGGTGGCGTACTTTTTGCGACGTAAAACGTGACCCTAATTTGGAAAACTACCCATATCTACCGCTGTTCTCTGAGAGCTAACCACTGAAGTCTAGGCTCCAAGCCCTAAATCCCACGATCTTTTACAACATCTCGTGCTTTGAACAAAAGCAACCAAAGCCAAGCGGATGCCAACCTCTGGCAGCTCATTGGGCATGTAGCGCACTCGTCGACCCTGTCGAAAGATGTGCGCGATGTCCTGACTCCCAGAGCATCAACCCTAATCCCTAAACCCTAAAGTCTAACCCCAAATCCCCAAATCCTGAACCTTAAACCCGAAGCCTTGAACCCTAAACCTAGAACCCTGAACCCTAACCCCTAACCCCTAAACCCCAAATCATAAAATCTTAAAACCCTAAGTCTTGAACCCAAGACCCTAAACCCTATGATCCCTAAACCCCAAACCTTGAATCTGCAAACCTTTAACCTCGAAGTCGTTTCCGGGAAAACAACGCCATGCATCCCGTTGATTGAACTTTAGGGTTTAGGGGTTTAGGGCTTAGGGCTTCAGCACTCCAGTCGTAGAGGCTCGAAGCCACTCAAGCACGCATTATTCCGCAACTGATATCTGATCTGGTCTCATAGGGTGATTTGCATGTTGTATTCCTGACTTCAGGGATCTTGGAGTCTCCAAGAACAATATTACTTTCAATCCCAACCCTAAACCCTAAACCCTAAACCCAGCTCATCAGCTCCGAAACCATAAACCCCAAAATCTGAGACCAGAGCCTTGAACGATATAAGCTAGAAGCCCTAAACTCTAAACCTTATATGCGCCCTCCCTAAAACCCTATCAGACCCTAAACCCTATATAACCTTAAACCCAGAGCCGAATAAGCTCCCAAATCCTAAAGACTAAACTCTACATCCCTGATAGAATCACAGAGCCCTAGAAGCAACCTTGGAAATGCCAAATCTAATCGTAAACCCTGAACCCTACCTAGAGTAAACAAGGTAATACGTTACAAAGCGGATTTTTCTTGGGGGGTTCATCTTTTTGGGAGGTACACTGGCTGTTCTAGCTCCTCAACCCTAAACCCTGGACAAAACATCCACTTCGAGGACAAAGCTTTGTCTCATGAGGCTGAGGAGCGCCGTGGAAAGTGGACTGCCAAATTCCCACGCCATGCCTGGGGTGCGTGGGAGCCTAAACCCTAAACCCTAAACCCTAAACCCTAAAGGGGTTTGGGTTTTTGGGGTTTGGGTGAGTTAGGTTGTCTGGTTTGCCTTGAACAATGACTGGCAGGGGCCGCCGCAGCTGGGTTTTAGGCGGCATTCGGGAGTGGGGCTGAGGGTTTGGGGTCTACCTTAAGAACCCAAAAGCTACTCTTTTGTAGGATAAATCCCATATTAGGGTTTATAATAAGAACCTACAAAAAAGTAGGTTTTGGGTTCTTAAGGTAAGGTGAAATGTCTTAATCTGTGCAGTGACCCTTCCCCCGACCGGATCTCCGAGCCCATCCCGCCTGGGACCTGCCCAAAACAAAACACCATGAGTTGATAGGGTTTAGGGTTTAGGGGTTTTAGGGTTTAGGGGTTTTAGGGGTTTTAGGGGTATTAGGGGTTTTAGGGGTTTTAGGGGTTTTAGGGGTTTTAGGGTCTAGGGTTTAGGGTTTAGGGTTTAGGGCTTCGGGTTTAAAGTCCCAGGGTTTATATTTTACAAGTAGGGCGTAGAGTTTAAGGCTTAAGCGGTTTACAGGAGTTGGAGCTTAGAGCTTTTCCTTTGTATCTTGACGAACCAGACCGAAACTTGCAGGTCGTGTGGGGCTCTGTTTAGGGTTTAGGGGTTTTAGGGGTTTTAGGGGTTTTAGGGGTTTTAGGGTTTAGGGTTTAGGGTTTAGGGTTTAGGATGATTTAGACGCCTGAAACAATCAGAATAGGGGTGTGAGGAGGTGTTGTGTACTACTCTAGGGCAACCCGGCCTACAGAGAAGCCTATAACATGGATCATGGTCCAGGGCTTTTGGGTTTAAGGCTTTTGGGGTTTCGGGTTTAGGGTTTGGGGGTTCGGTGGGTTTCCCGCCCTCTCTGTCCCCATTGAGATGCTGCCACGCCACCCAATGTCTCTGTGCTCGAACTGCCTCCTTTGTGAGGAGAGCCACCTGAAAGGGTTTAGGGTTTAGGGTTTGAGGTTTTAGATCTGCCAAAGCGCCCGGTGTTGTTAGTTTCGCTCGTATTGTCATAAGGTTTGGCTTGCCAGTGGTGGGGTCCGTTGATGTAGGTGTCTGACCCTTACACTTACCATTGCGGGGCAAGTCGTCGTCGTAGCCAGTCTGGGAGAAGCCGTGATGGACTGCAAGACTGCAAGCTTAAACCCGAGGAACCACAGTGGACAGGGTTGCTAGCGTCCACGACTGTTCGTCCTCTTCATACCTTCTTCTGCTGCTCCCTGCTGGCACTGGCACCAGTGCCCTGTGCTACAACTATGAGCTCTAGCTGAAGCACTTACTTTGAACAAGTTCTATTCTACACTTACAAATCCGATCTCAAAACTATAACCTCATTGATGCAACAACGCTCCTTCGTCCAACATCTCCCCCAGCATCATTGCTGGCATCATTGTCGTTGGTTGGTCTTGTTATGATGACGACGACTGTTTACCATGTCTTCTTGTCATTATGCCTCTTACGATCACTTCGACCTTGTTTCTGACAATAGTTGTTATTATCAGTGTGGTGTTATATGGTCGGTCGCCATAGCTTCTACATGCCCTAAACCCCAAGCAATACTTAACCCCCAACACCTCCAAACCGTACGCCCTACTATAGTCGCCTTAATCATTCGAATAGGGTTCTGGGTTACATCATAACTTATAACATAATCATAACAAGGAACCCCCCAAGATAGTATAGATAATTATTTGCGCCCCTATACTAAACCTTCTTCTGTCGCCGTTCGCGATCCGGGCCGCCGCGGTGCAAATCGACGCTCTGCACCACGTGCCCCGGCCGGGGGTCGTTCCAGAAAGGGCTGCCACCTAGTCTGCTCTCGTGCTCTGAATCTTAACAGGCCCCTGCAGTCTCCATTGTAGTTTAGGGTTCAGGGTTTAGGGTTTAGGGTTTAGGGTCCCTGCAGTCTCCATTGTAGTTTCTTTTCGGCGAATTCAGATCTATTTCATAAGGTCATGGCCGTATAAGAATTGGAACACAGCAACGGATGAAAATATAAACTATAGGCCTTTGCATGGTCGTGGGGTTCCCTTAAAGAGTTCTTTCTATACGGGTTTCCACGAGGGGTACTGGGGTTTGGTAGAGTTTGTTCAATGTCGGGGCCTTCCGGGACAGACTACGGTTCCGCTAACGGTTTAGGGTTTAGGGTTTAGGGTTTAGGGTTTAGGGTTGAAGGAATTTAGGGCTTTGGGGCTTAATAATTGGGAATCGGACTTTTGGGGTATAATCTCGTCAACCCATGCTAGGGACTACAAGGTGGTCTTGTACACCCTAAACCCTAAACCCTAAATACCCCTAAACCCCTAAACCCTAAACCCCTAAACCCTAAACCCTAAAACTTACCTGTCTGTTTTGCTTCGGGCAATCGAAAGGTTAACCGATGCGGATATTTGAAGAAATCTAGTACACCACATCCCAAATGCACCCAGTGCCAAACCTTGTGATGACAACCCTTAACGCCGAGGAGCAGTGCCGGGCAGGGCGACGGGCCCACGGAAACGTCTACCAGCGCAGCGTCAGCCGCCAGCTCGTGAGGGGCGATGATCTGGAGACTTCCAAGCGTTTAGGGTTTAGGGTTTAGGGTTTAGGGGTTAGGGGTTAGGGTTTGGGGTTTAGGGTCTAGGGCTTAGGGTTTTGGGGTTTAGGGTTTAGGGTTTAGGGCTTCAAGGTTTTCAAGGGCTTGGGTTTAGGAGTTTAGGAAGTATATATTACATGATCCACACCATGAGGAGTCAGAAGGGGCTGGAAAGGTCTATTCACCCGCTAACTTACGTTAATCTCTTGCGACAGTGCGATTCTGATTAAGGTGGTTGGAAGTGGATCGTCAGTTCCCCATAACCGATTTTTGTTGGGGTGGAGGTGGGAGCGGGGGGGTTTCTGTCTTAGGCTGACACGTTATCTATAGCATGGTAGCTAAACCCGAAACCCACGCCCTAAAACCTAAACCCTAAACCCTAAACCCTAAACTCTCAACCCTAAACCAATTTCTACTCCAAAGGGTCTCCAGCCAGGCTGTAAAGAAATTAGGCAGACACCACTCAGATAAGCACCTCGACGGTTGGAAGCTGCGAATCTCGAGGCACATCATCACCCCAATATAGGGGCCTTAGTCATTAGAATAGAGTTTTGGGGTGTATTATAAACCAAAATTATATAGGGGCCTTGATAAGTAGAATAGGGTTTTGGGGTATAAT